AAACCATGTAATAAAGTGTTAGTTAAATTTTGTGAGCACAACCATATCATAAATTGTTAGTTAAATTTTATGAGCACAATCATGTCATAAATTGTTAGTTAAATTTTATGAGCACAACCATGTAATAACTTGTTAGTTAAATTTTATGAACACAACCATATAATAAATTGTTAGTTAAATTTTATGAGCACAACCATGTAATAAATTGTTAGTTACATTTATGAGCAAAACTAAGTAACAAGTTGTTAGTAACATTCATTCTATCCGTATTCCGGTGTTTTGACAAATTTTCTCCCAAACCATAAAAATTAATTTTTTTAAATAAAAACTAATCTATTTTTGATCTCATTTAATTTGGTTTATGTTAAAATAAATATGTTGTAATGTACATAACGACAATAAAACATATAGCTTGAAATAAAAATATGAGTGTGCGGTTCTTTTGTCTTCGACTGTACTCGATGTTACTCGACGAAAATCTGGTCAGTGGGGGGTCGCAGAGCGTAGAGTAGGGTAGCGTTGCATGGCATCGGGCAGATATGCACGGGGATAATACAGCCTTATGGAAAATTGGACATTGGATTTGCATCGGGTAGTGTTACGTTGGGTGTTTTCCCCACTAACGTATATGTAATGCGGGTTCCTGGGCTTGTTGGTAGAACGAACTATTCTCTATATACTGCCACACGCAATTTTGTCAAATCCTTACCAAGTCGTCAATATGCAGCTAACAGGCCCGTAAATATCATATTTTCCGGCTTTGGTATAGTTATAATTTTGACTTTTTGAGGATGGTTAGAACATTCACATTACCTTCACTCTTCGTAAAATGATCTCCCGCCCTGTTTTCTTAAACAATATTCCCCTCCCAAATGCGGACAAGGTGCGGTACCTCGGACGGTACATCGACAAACGCCTGACGTGGAATCCTCACACACGACTGAAACGTCAGGAGGTTATGACACGATTTAGAGCTCTTGCACGACTTCTTGACAAACGATGTAATTTACCTCTCAAAAACAAAAGGCTGCTTAGTATAGTTAAGCCGATTTGGACTTACGGACTGGAAGTGTGGGGTTCAGCTAATCATTCCTTCATCCACCGCATTCAAACTGCCCATTCTATAATACTACGAAAAATACTAGATGTTCCATTTTATATATCGAACCAAACTACACATACAGATTTACATATTCCTTTGGTACAAGATGAAATACATTTCCGTTACCGTAAATTTCATAAAAACCTCCCAACTAACATAAACCAGCACATCAGAAACCTCGCATCCCGACGAATCCTCTCAAACCCTGTCCGCCGACTAAAGAGACAATGGCCGCGAGATGTCCTAGGAAGTGATGGTGATGACAGTGAAAGTGATAATGACACACGTATCAATTGAACAAACAATATTATTGTAACATTGGAGTAATGCGAGTGGGTGTTTTCTCCACTCTTGGTTTTAATTTTGTCTTGTTTTAATTACCTTGCTCACTGTTACTTATTACCTACTTTAAGGTAGTTGTATTTACCACAAATTAAAAAAAAAGACTTTTTGAGGATTTTTTGATGTATTTTGTTTGTCTCTATCCTGGAGTATGAAATTTAACCTGGCCTACTTGGCAATTCCCTCTTTTTTTTAAGGCAGTTGGACTTTTCCTGAAGGTTTCCTGTCCTGCTGGTTCTGTTTAAGAACCCTTGCATATACCCTGGAGTATCGGCCTGTTGATAACTTTGTCTTGTGTAATCTATTTTTTCTACCAATTAACTCATATAGTTCTACAACTGACTTTTAACTTAACTATAACACGATCATTTCTCAAGTGAGGCTAGACGCTTCGCTATCAACTAAACTTCACCCTCAGCAACACAAATGAATTTTAAAGGTGGGTGAAATTAATTCATTTTTATCTTTTCAATTAAGAATTAATCATTGTAGTATTATTTGTTTGGTATAAAATTTTAGAAAAATATGTAAAGAATTGTGATTATGGGACTTTCGATTCAAGTAAATCGCATTCTTTCCTTCCCACCCTGAGTTTATTCAACTATTGTTTCACTTATAGCAATTTTTTGCGAAACACGTCAGACTTTTTATTGAATTATCCACAGAGTGAAAGCAGTGTAAAAAGAAATGGTAAGGGGTTTTTTCCGTTCCGATTGGAATGTGAGTTAGGAGAAAGAGCGTTTGTGGTTATAGTCAGTCATTGGTAGGTGCGTTGAGGGTTTTTGGGCCGGGCCGACCGCCGTTTGAAACAGTTGAGAGCGACTTGGCCGCTCAATTGGCTCCGTGTACAAAGCTCAGTTCCCCGTGAAATTGATTTGGGATAAGAGGCGGCCCCCGCCCCCCAAGGCTTACCTTTCCGCCTCCGTCCCCAATTGTCAACCGCCGCTGCCCCATCCAAACAGACCTCCACGCCTTTCTGTATTACAAACCTACTTTATACTATTCTTGAACTGTATTTCATATAAATCCCAACAATACTCTCATTGTTAATTTATAACATAAAATTATTTAAATTGGCCGACTTAAACTTAATAGACTTATCTTATAAGTATTACCTAATTGTGCGTGCGCGCGCGCGCGCGCGCGTGTGTGTGTGTGTGTGTGTGTGTGTGTGTGTGTGTGTGTGTGTGTGTGTGTGTGTGAAACCTCGGATCGCCGCGTATCGATAGGTTCAATCTAGTCCAAATTGATTTCTCATCTTCCAATTATTTGTGCTTCACGCCTATTGAAAGCCAAAATTAAACGCAAAAGTGTGAAGTTCATTATTATATTCTACACCAACCTTTCGCGTCAAATTTTTACCTTGATTTCTACGTTTGAAACGATTTGTAAGTTAGTTGAAACATCATCATAATTCAGTTGTCATTTTCTTTCTACTATAAAACTATATTTCCTCTATATTGTAACTATTTTTGTGTGGTGATTAGTAACCGTTAGTCGATGATTATTCAGAAATCGTGAGATGCGGTCTAGTGTTATGTAGGTAACACGACACGCAAAAATGGCACAATTACACAGAAAACAAACACTTTGAGTGAGTAGAAATACTTTGATTGAAGATAGAAAATATATTTTGTATTGTATAAATTCACTTTTTTCCACATCATACATGTATTTGTTAAATTTAAACAATGTTTGTAAATCCCAGGCTCTGAAGATGATCTCAATGAAGATCGAAACGTTGGCACGATAAAGAAAATGTTTTTCTGAAACCTACATCATACCAGACCGCAACTCACGATTTCTGAATAATCATTATAACTATCTGTACAATTTGAGAAAATCAAAAATGTTTTATTCATACGATCATTTAAGTTCGCCTGGACTTTCATTAAGATGATGTTTCAACTAACCTATAAATCCTTCACCCCGAAGGATTTATAGGTTAGTTGAAACATCATCTTAATTCAGTTGTCATTTTCTTTATACTATAAAACGTTATTTCCTCCATTTTATAACTATTGGTACAATTTAATAAATTCAAAAAATTTTTATTCATATAATCAGTTAAGTTCACTTGGACTTTCACCCCGAAGGATTTGTAGGTTAGTTGAAACATCATCTTAATTCAGTTGTCATTTTCTTTCTACTATAAAACTATATTTTCTCCATACTATATCTATTTCTACAATTTCATAAATTCAAAAATGCTTTATTCATATAATCGGTTGTCACTTGGACTTTCACCCCGAATGATTTGTAGGTTAATCGAAACATCATCTTAATTCAGTTGTCAATTTCTTTCTATGTACTATGAAACTTTATTTCCTCCATATTATATCTATTTGTACAATTTAATTGTAAATTCTCTTGGACTTTTAAACATCAACTTAATCGATTATAATTGGTATAATCAGTTAAGGTTTTATCTCAACTAATACCTTACATAAAGATTAATTAATTGAAAGTTTTGTCAATCGGACCACGAAATCTAATGGATTTAATAATCAGTTAAGTTCACTTGGACTTTCACCCCTTCCAGGACTGTTATAGCTTTATTTTTGGTTTTATCAATCGCCACGCGCAGCATTGCGGAAAAATTAACGTTTAAAATGCTAAGAAAAGAAGAGGGTATTTACGATCTTACTGGACATTTCTGTATTCGAATTAACACGAGTTAACATCTTACAAACATCGTGAATACCCCTACTAACTGAACTAACTGGTAGAACTTTTTGAATAACTCTGGCCAATTTTTCCCAACACACATCTTGGGAAAGACGAAATGGCAGACAAATTAAATGGACTGTACATTATTCTTCAACCATTCAGACAGGTCGTTTTATAATGCTTGTATGCAATATTTTTGGCGTTTTGAATATAATTTTTTTTTTCTAAGCCCGAAAGATTGTGTATGTTAAAATATAGAATTTCTTATTTATATCTTAATAAATATTTTTTTCGACATGGATGTAATAAGTTTTATCACTTGCGTAAAACCAACATTATCATTGGGTGGTGTCTTCCAATCTGTTAAAGGTTTCGCTTTTTCGTTTTATTGTTTTTCCGTGATCAGTCAAACGTGTTCAAAATTGCACCACCCCTCCGGCCGGCCGACGTATCTGCTTCGATTAGAAATCCAATTTCAACTTTTTAAATCTTGTAAGGGGAGCTCCTTGAGATTTTATTGAGGATAAAAGTTTTCCCTCTCGTCTGGCCCTCTCGCTCTAAATAACGCCGTCCCGGCGGCTCTTTTTATTCGAAAAATATACTTTGGGCGGGATGAGACAAATGCCCGGCCCTGCTATTGAGTCGACGTTACCATTATTTAATTGAAAGTACTGTCAGTTCTAAATCCAAATGACTGTCTCCAGGTAGGGCTTTTGTCCTTTTCGTATCTCCACGACCCCTTCCACACCGCACCCTTAATTATACTTATGGAAGTTACCTTTAATGAGTGTAATTTTATTTGGCGCATGCTAAATCAATTACTGTTGTTAATTCGTTGTTTTAGAAACCGGCTCGTGGAAGTCTCAAACTTTTTCTTTTGTTGCAGGTCACAAAATGGAAACAAAGACTGGTACCCAAGAGTGCGCAGGCTGCGGTAAACCAATTTCAGAAAGGTAAAAATTAAATTAACAACACATTTTCACGTCACAAAAATTATGAAATTTGTCACAAGCGTTTTACCATTTTTTTCCATACAATTCAAAAAGACATAATCTATACTGACTAAAAAAATTGCGACAGAAAAAACATTTAGAAAATCATCTCGACTTACGGACTTGAACTGGGATGACCGTCGATGGTCGATGTTTAGAAAACATCGAAGGCAGGCGACCGATGTTCGATGTTTTCAACATGTTACTGTGTCGATGTTTTTTGAACATCGATGGTGGGCTGTCGATGTTTCTATGAACTTTTTCAGTTTTTCCTAATTTCCATTTTTGTGAGTAGGGAATGACCCATATTCTTCTGATAAGAAAGTGCCCTATCAGAACCTGTTAGGGGTTGTTTAATTTGTTGTCTTAGTAGCACATCTGTTCCCAGTGAACGATTATTTTCCATAGCTGGACAGATTATTTGTAAAACCAGAAATCACTTACAGGATAAATTGGCTTTAAAGCTAAGTTTTTTTAATTGCGGTCCGGAAAAGATGTGATAGTGTTTCATTGTAAAATTTGGATTCATTAATTCCATTAAATTAAGTATATGGTTGAATTTAGTTACTTACTAAACCTTTACTTTTTTTGAGCAAGGGACAGGAATTGGGCTTGAGTGGATTGTGGATATTTTCAAAAGTATCGAAGAAAAAAAGCGAGGTATCATCAATACAATTCAAATGAACGAAATACTTTAACAATAGACGTCTTTTATTTAAAATGGACCGATAGATCTATGTACAACTATAAATGAAACCAAATGCAAAAATAATTCCTAATAAATGTTATCAAAAAAATAAACATAATTTATTAATCAAGTTCATAATAAAGCCATTAGAGTTCGTGGTCCGAACGACCAAATAACTTTTGTCAATGCCAAGGTATTGGTTGAGATAAAAAAGTCAATGTCACGAGCGGGATTCGAACCCACGACCTTCGCTATATACGCCGCTACTCTACCACTTGAGGTATCGTGACTTCTATCCACTCGGACACCAACCTCTCATCTCAACCCTACCTTTTGACCTTCCTCTCCTTTTTGCCATTTTTCAAATGTCCTGTGATCTATTCGATTCTCGGCGACAAATGAAATGGCCGACCAATACCTTACATAAAGTTTAATTAATAGACAAAAGTTATTTGGACGAACGGACCACGAACTCTAATGGATTTAATAAGTAAAATGAAGTATATCGTCACTAATGCTCTCCGTGGCCATTTCATTTGTCGCCGAGAATCAAATAGATTACTCGACAATACCTTACATAAAGTTCCTAATAAAGGTTCAGAAATGGCGAAGTTTGAAAAAATAGTTTATGTTTCTAAAGTGGCGCATAAAAATAATGAATGCATATGAAAATAATTAGTGGTTTGAGTTATGAGTACTCAAAAAAACCACACATTGATATGTAGACTGTAGAGTTGATGGTCGTACCACCATCGATGGTGAGGTTCCGATATTTAATCGATGGTATCCATCAATGTTTTTTTTATGGATGCTCATCCCTAACTTGAACACTGCGGTACTAACAACCAATGTACACGTTGCGAACAAAGTTCCATCTTTCCAGGTTTCTAATAACCACTCCATCGTAAGAAAGGAATCCTGCAATTCTTACTCTAAAAGCTTCACGGCAACTGTTCACTTCAATTCTTTATCACTACGCCTTTCTTCAACTTGTAATCTCTTACTATCTCCACGAAGGAAGAAACATGGCCGTGANTATTGTTATTTCAAGTGTGCTTTTTATAATATCTTTTAAAGTAAAAAAAAAGCTTATTATTAATTAAATATAAGAACTCATAAAGCATATTTCCTAGAAATAATAATCCATTTATGTTTTAGAGGATTAGTGGTCTAATTGACCAAGCCACTTCTTTCAATTAATTATTCTTTTTATGTAAGGTCTTGGTTGAGACACGAGTGTCACGAGAGGGATTCGAACCCATGACCTTCTGCTAAATCCGCCGCGGCTCTACCACTTGAGCTATCGTCACTTCGATCCTCTCGGACACCAACTCTATTACACAATAAAACGGTTGCGTGAATACTTTAAATGTAAAATTGCTAATAAGGGGTAGCAAAACTGTTCAGCAAACCCGCTTAAGCCTGTAAATAATAATTAACATACCATTGTATGTAGATAAAATTCTTTGTAATAAATTCGAATTAAAAATACTCTCTTTGTAAAAAAATTATAAAGTGCGCGTTTTCCACTTAGTTATTTAGTTTTTAAGTACTATTTCCACATTTGGGAAATGAAGCTGTTTCTTGTTTATTTATGGCAGAATTTTCCTTAAATTGAAGCACATTGGGGCAGATTCGATCTCCTTGTTTACTTGTTATCCGGACAAACGGAAGAGTAAAACTTCATCATAGTCGACACCGAACGACTTTAGTTGTAGACCCTACAAGCGGACAAGGCCGGATAGCTTTAAGATTCGGGAGATTTTCCGGGTCGCCCGGCCGTCTCGGTCAATATAGGTTGTAAATAATATGTTTTGGATGTCTTTCTATCAGGCCGGGGAGGGAAAAAATCTCGACGGCCGACATTGATGAGAAAATGGGAAAGGATGTTTTCTAAAAGGCAGCCGGGCGAGGAGCATGGACTTGAACGAAGGGAGGGACAATATTTCTGAGTGAAATAAATGAGGCTCCAACCCTAAAAGAGATCAGACCATTCTCGAGTTATCTATAAAATAAATCAATATTGAATTGGAAGGGATGAGCGAGGGAGAGAGACGAAGGAGCGTGTACGAGAGGGAAAGAAGGAGAGAGATGAAGCGGACGGCAGGGGTGGATAGATGATGGGATGAGAGAGGACGATGCGGGGGAACATTAAATTGGCCAATATCCTCCGAGGCAATCCCAGAAGGTATAAGACAGGGAAAGCATGTTGAGGTATATAATGAGCCGGTATGACAGGTTGATATTTGAAAGGAAATTGGAGAGGTCTCCTTTTCCCGAGGAGGATGATGTCTAAGGAATAAACCCCGCGCCGCCATCCGATTGTTAAAAGAGCTATATTATTGGGAGATGATCGCCCCCAACAAACCTTTTTAGCTCGCACCACCTCCCTCCGTCGACCGCACAGCAAAACGAAATCCTCTTTTCTATCGTTCCTACTCATTCAATCCAATACCATTTCCTTGAGAACTACTGACATCTGCCGGCCCGTAGCGAATTTCGAAACATCTTCGAAATTATTTAATTTTCTAGAGGGTTTCCAAAGTCTCAAGAGTATTTTTTCATCTTTGTGCTAAACGTTACATAAAGTTTCGAGTCAAATTAATTGTGAATAAGTACTTGACAAATTTACGGGATTTTCCCTTTTTGCCTTAACAATCCAATTTTAATTAATTTTTGCTGTATCTGAATTTTTCCACTGCCTACTTTCTGCCACCCAGACCTACAATTGGCCACCCATGCCGGTGACCCATTTCTAGCATTTATAGCACATTTGTAGCACTGAACCAAATAACGGGAACCGCGGTAGCCGAGTGGTTAGCATGAGAGACTCTCACGCCGCGGTCGTGGGTTCGATTCCCACCGTTGCCCCTAGCCCTTTTTTCCCAATAACCCCCCAAATTTGAACACACATATACGAATTTGTCACATGGCTAATATGCATAGTTCATAACGCCAAAAAAAAAAAAACCAAATAACGCTTCCTGCCTACTCCTGATTATGCTTTTCATTCTGAAATCCTACCGAACCAACCGCTGCTTTAGAGTGAAGTGTGTCAACGAATTCTCGGAAATCAGCCCGATACAAGCTGGCGTCACACAAGGGAGCATGCTTAGTCCCATCCTTTATATCATCTATACTTCTGATCTACCTAACCAATACTCTCATCACCACCTACGAGGACGATACCTCAATTTTGTCCTCTAGCACGAATTTTATCAGTTACCTCTAACGTTTAAGAACTTATCAAAAGCTGGTGGAAAAAGTTTAGGACAAGAGTGAATGAAGAAAAATGTAAAATGTTCACATTAAAAAGTCTTGCCCTCCACTGTACATCAAGAACAAAGAGTTGCCGTCTTCTATTCAAGTCAGTCAAATACTTAGGACTATACCTAGAGAGCAAACTGACGTGAAACCCCCAACGAAGACTTCTAGGACAGCAGTCAATAGTAGACTAACGTTATAGAAGACTTTACTGCGACCACTTAGGATAACCTACTGGGATGTGCCAAGCCATCTAACATTCAACGCATCCAATCCTTCCAATCAAAAGTATTCAGACAAATCGTCAAAGCTCCTTGCCACGTCACTAACCTCACTATCCACAACGAACTCAACATTCCTTTTGTCAACTAACCGATTAGGACCCGATTCCGAATATTTCATACTAACCTTTCTATCTATCCTCAACCTACTGTTCGAGCCCTCTCTACACATTCCCGTCCCGAAAACCCGCCATAATCAACATGGAGTCAAGACCTCCTTACCTCTTACTCACTCACACTGAGTGCCAGCATTGTCAGGATTCTCATGGCATGTGTGTGCGTCGAGTGCATGGCTGGCATTAGTGCTAGTGCTGTGACCGTGTGAAAAAACGTATTGTAATATCTAAAAACATATATATCGATTCAAATAAAAATACATACATAAATGAAATCTATAATCATATAACCTGTGTGGTTTTATGGAACATATTTAAAGTGACAAAAATTCTATTGCAAATTTCTAAAAAAATGTCGGACTAAAGTCCCACCACAAGCCAGGACTTAACAACATGGTCTCTGCTCATTACTCAGCGGTCATGATGACTTATCAGAAGATTGAAAATTTCCTTCGATCGGAAATTTAATACTGTTATCTAAATATCATGATTTATAATAAGTTCAGATAAACTACTCTAACTGAGACATCAGTGGGTACTACCGAGTGGTCAATTAATAAAATCAATAACATATTAAGTGTAAGATTAATATTTCATCTGTAAAAAAGAAGC